AGAGACACACACACAGACACAGAGACACACACACAGACACAGAGACACACACACAGACACACACAAACAACCGTAAACATACGAAAATAAAAGAGAATGTCATTTGAACTACTGATCATTTATAATAAAACTAATAATATAAATTAAAAGACAATAAAATAAATGTATTAATGAATATGATATGAACATATAAAGAATAAAAAGGAAAAGTACATAATGAAACATGACAAAGAATAACTGCACATACGGGCAGCTATTGACAGTTTATGAATTCTGAAGTTATTAAAGGTCACAGTAGATGACGTACCTGACAGCGGCCGCAGGTTTGTCCGATCACGTGGGCCTTACACTCACACTGACCCGTGATCACGTGACACACGGTGGACAGAGAGCCGTCACCATGGCAACCGCAGGCTGCACACACACACACACACACAACAGAGAGACACCCCCACAGACACCCCGGCCCGCACACACACACACACACACACACACACACACGGAAACACGGATTACACACTACAGTAAAACAGTACCGCGTTTGTCCAGCAGATGTCACTGGAGCTTCATGTCAGAAAGTGTTATTATTATTATTATTATCCAAATCTGACTATTATGTTTATATATTAGGGGTGTAACGGTACACAAACATGACGCTTTGGTATGGTTTCGGTACAGCAGGAGGAAAAAACTAAACCTATATATATATATATGTTTTTTAGTTAAACAATGGTTTACTGAACAAATTGCTTATTCTTTAAATAAATTCAACTACAATTAAAATCTACCTCAGCTCTAAACTATAGGGAGCCCTTTTACATTACTATAAGGTTACAATTAACAACACAGCCCAAACTTAAATTCAATTACTGTTTATTTTTAACTATAGTAATCAACACACAAATTAAAAATTTGTATGCAAACATGTAAATTGCAGATAATGCCGTTTTTAAATGAACTTCTAAATTATACAAATTCTATTTGTTGTTGAAATACAATAATTTACACAGTGGCTGTCATAACTTGTTTCACAAACAATTTATTTAAACATACATTATATAATTAAGACATCACTAACAGGTAAATTAAAATATATAAGTATATAGTCTAATATTTCTCAAAATGCTCTTCATTTCTCTAGCAAATAACGAGCTGTGGACAGTGATGACTTGCCTGAGGTAAATGAAATGCTTCGTGACATTTAGTTTACAAGCTGTTTTTAATGACGTCTTTCCGCAAATTAAACACCGATTGAGCGATTACATGAGATGTTCATTCATGTTTATTTCACGTTAAAAACTATAAACTGTCACGCCACATCAAAAAGTGCCAAAAAGGCATGTATGCTATTGTCTGAATTGCGGCAGACAATCAATGGCATGAATCAACAAGGCAGGCAGGGTCAGAATAGGTAGGCAGCAAGCAATCGTAAACAGTCCAGGTAATCAACACAGGGAAAACTCTCAGAAATGTCTGCAAGGCAAAACAAGACTTCGCAATGAGAGCAGGGAAGACACAGTTTAAATAGACCGGGCAATAGGAAACAC